AGACCATTCAAACCAACAGGAAGAGAAACTAAAAAGAAAATCATTCCAATTATGGTAGCAAAACTCACAAGACAGAAAATAATCCCCAAGTTACTGATCCTCTACAAATGAATGGTGTTATCAAACTCCGATAGATACTGTTTGAATGCATCTCGATTTCCAGTTTCTATTAAATCCATTCCCATCCTGTCTAAACCCTCAATAAATTTGTGTACAGAAAATAGAGAGTGAGACCCGCCAGGAAACAAGAAATCTAAATTACAAGAATGCCATTCAAGTTTTCCAAAAATCGGCCGCCTAGGCGGGACCTTTTTCAAAAAAAGAAAAAAAAAAGGTATAGCCGGGCGGCTATACTCTAGCATAGTAAAAAACAGTATCGCCGCGCGGCTATACCTTTTCGACACGTGGAACTGGCGAAAGTCGTCAGGCGGTGGTCTTATTTTTAATTATAAATAATATAGCCGTGCGGCTATACTCGGTGTTGTTTTAAAATAAAAATAGTATAGCCGTTCGGCTGTACTTGATTTTTTTGACACGTGGCGAAGTAGCGCTAGAAGCCAGGCGGTGGTCTTTTTTTAATTATAAATAGGATAGCCGTACGGCTATACACGGATTTTTATTTAAAAAACTGTATAGCCGATCGGCTATACTAGAGTTTTTATTATAAAAATAGTATAGCCGCCGGCTATATCCTTTACATAAAACTTGATTTTGGGCTGAAATTTATTATACATTTCATGCCAGACCCGCCAGGAAGAAGGAAATCTGAAAGAAAAAACTACGCCATTCAAGTTTTCCAAAAATGGGCCGCCCAGGCGGGCTAGGCGAGTCCTTTTTTTATATAAATAAATAGTATATTCAAAAAGTCCTTAAGTAATATATTTAAACAATATAGCCGTTCGGCTATACCCTTATTTAGTTATTTATTTTAAAATTAAAATTAAATCTTTTTCCCGCTAGATTCATTCTTTCTTATGGAACGGATGTGCCTAGCTGCCATTGTCGATCAGTGTCGTTGGCCAATTGCAACTAGTGTAAATTTCGATGTACACCCGTTTCTAACCTAAGTTTTAAGTTCACTATATGGTTTTGGAACATGGCCAAAAACTTGAGAATTAAAACTTAAAATCTAAGCTCAATATCCTAACATATCAACTCTATCAAGAATGGTGTGCACTTAAAATCTAAGATCCATACCCCAAACTTTGTTGAGGATGGAGTGCAACTTTTATTTCGCTTTGCCATCTCTCACCAAGAGCCACTTTTTTGTATGAATATATTGACAGGATCATTACACAATTATGATGGGTAGAGATTGAGTCCAGATGATCTTGATCACATTTCAACCTTGTCACTTAATTGAGCCAAAACTCACAAATCTCTCTTTGACAAAGAAGAAAAGGGTCGGGACGATTGATCAGGATCACTAGTTATAAGTTTGGGCTCTAGTGGGATTGAATCTCTAACAAAAATTAAAGATAAATAATACATGATCTGATCTGCAAATAAATATAAGAAATCGGAGGGTATCTATTATTAGTGGCAATCTACAAGCAGGAGGAACCCTATGAGGGTTCATGAAATGCATATTTATACTTGAGTTAAACATCAAATAGCATCACCATCAACTCAATATGAAATAGAAATAACAAGGATATCTTTAGGACTTTCGTCCTGATGAACTCAATAAATAGCATCACC